GGAATAGGGGTAGGGCGGGCCGTCCGCTTCAGAAGCCGTCTGGCTCATGAGATCGTGCATACGCATGGGGAAATGAAAGAGAGAGAGAGATGGAGAGGCGACGGATGGATGGATGGATGGGTGGATGCGTGACCGCAGGGGGAGGGGAGGGGAGGGGAGGGGTCCATGAAGGCTGTGTCGGTCTGTCGTGCAAAGACACCACAGGGACGACAGATGCCCATCTCAGCTCGTGGTGGTGACGGTCTGTCTGCACATGTGTTTGTGTCGGTTCACCAGGTTCCCATTTGTATTTATGTGGTGTCTCAGTATGTATGAGCGTCTCGCTGTTGGCCGGCTGTCTGTATGCCTATTTGTGTTCGCACATTTTGGTGCAATGCGTCTCTGTGTACTTCGGCTCCGCTTGTTTGTGTCTTCGTTGACAGACAGAGGGAGGGAGGGAGAGTGCTCAGCCGTAGTCATGACTCTTATTATCACTCTGTGTCACTAATCTTATTATGGATCGAGTGCATCAGTGCTGTGTGCAGAAAATCGTATCGATTTTTTCGGAGGCTATGCCACACACACCCAATATAGTCTCACTCCATCTGTGTGTCCCGAGTGTGGGTGTGTAGGGGGACACCAGAGGGACGATGGTGGTCTGTATGGTGGTGGCAGAAGGGGGGCTTTTGCCTGTGAGTGTGTGACACTATTCACCGTGGACGGACAATATTAATGCAAAGGTCTACTTCTATGTCTCGGATGAGAGCAATCGACACACGCACACATGCTATCGACACCTGCTGAGCAGCCCTCGAGTGGCATTGTAAGATGCAAACGCATGGCTTAACCCTGCGCACATCTGTCCAGTCAAAGCATCGGCACTGCGCTCATTTTGTGCCACCCCGTTGTGTCTCACAAGACGATGACCAACGGAGAAAAAATCGCCCATGAATTTCCCAAACACGAAAGCCCAAAGGCATGAAGACATAATGAAAGACCTCTCCCTTCCTGCCTGCTTATTTGACTATCAATCCATTGCTTCCATTGCTTCCTGGACCTCGTCTTGCCATAGGAAAAGCGCCCCCCAGTAGAGGAGTATCGCGGCCGCAGTTATCGACAGCATGGACGCATACGCGAAATACTTCTTCATCTGTGAACACGCACGTGGCTCGTGAGAAGGCGTTTGTCAAATCCGCCTGTTCACCTCTTCAAACAGCTCCCGCTGACGCTCATCCTCCGTCAGGCGCACACGAAGGCATGCACAGAGAAGGCCTGCCATTAGAGATTCATGGGACACATGAGACATGGACAATTGAGTGTAAGCCCACCCGGAAGATCACAGCAGACGACCGCGACAGGCAAAATGAAATTGGTCAGGTACGAGCACTTGAAACAGCAGTCAATCCTGTAAGAGACACACAAATAATCATGTTCCTTTTACTACGATCTTGTGTACACATACATGGGGTCGTCTGTTTTTTGCACATCCGCCGCTCGTGTGGCGCGACCAGTTCCCCACTGACAGATCCACTTGATGTATTGTTGGCCAATCGCCACCATCGCAATTATGCTCCAGATCTTCTCATACAGACCAGAGGAATGCTTCCTCATAAACCATACATCCGGTATGCCGACGACTGGCAGTCCGAGGAGGAACACAAAGGCATAAGCAGCTCCGATGTAATTGAAGAGTCGATGCAGGAATGAATCGCCATGAAAGGCTTTTCCTGCAGTGCACCGCACACAAGGGTAGCGACACACTACGAATGGGGACTGAATGATTGAACTTCAATTACATAAGCTCTCTTGAGCCCTTCTAGGGACAGTGTTGTTGCAATCTATGGAAACGACAAGACAGACGGCATGATTTTGGAGGCGTATTGAAAGGTTCTCACCTGGGGGACAAGGCTGTCTTCGAGTCCCGACTTTGAGAACAATTCTGCCAACAGCTCGAGCTCCACTCTTTTCGGGCTTCCAATGTGCTCCCTCATTCCATCAATGAGAATGCCAATTGCGAAGGTGAATAAACAGATATAACTGGTCAAGGCACTGAACAAAGAAAGACAGAGACAGGTGTAAACATATCTAGATAGGGTCACGAGTACATGTCAAATGTAGTTGATCGCAAGGGTGATTCGTCTTTGAAGGGGATGTATGGGAGGGGGACGACTGACGCGAAAATAGTAAACCCCACCACCAGCACCACTCCACCGGTGTAGCGATAGCTTTTGGCTGCCTCTTCGGCCATCCTGTGCGAGTCGAGCATCCTTTTATGCAGTGCAAATCTTAAGATGAGTTCCCTGACGGTGATCTTCTCGTGCGTGGGATCTCGTTGTTGGTCTTCTCTTGCGCCGAGTTTGGTGGCGAGGGGGTTAAGTGTGTGTTATGCTCATGGATGACGACGTCGATGTTCTCGGATTCATTGGATTCGGACGATTGTAAGCCAGACAGCTTGCTGAAACACACAGAGAGTCTGCGTCGTATCTTGTAACAGCCCCCCAGCCACCCACCTCTTGGCAGCCTCTCCCTCCTTGCTCTCGTTCTCTGTCCCTTCCTCTATAGAGACGGCCCTCTCTCCTTCATATACTTGATTGAACCTCATATCAACATTTGCGTCTTTCAAGAGGTCATACATAAAGTCCAAGGTATTCTTCCGTTTCTGTGCGTGCACTCGTCGTGCCTCGTGTACATCTGACAGAGATCATCGACACATGTACACTTCAAGAGGAGGTAGCTGAAAGCCATGCAAGTATCGCCCGATTGAGAGACACGTACCTCCTTCAAGAGAGTACCGTTTCTCGACCCCGTCTGAAGTGATCGTCACTTGTTTGTTTTGGATCTGTTGGTCCAGCTGGCCCAGCAGAGCATTAACTGCCTCTGACAACGGTCTCGATTCCTCTTTCTCGGCCTCTCCGGCTGGGGCTTCCTTCACACAGACAAAGTAGTCTTGTAGCGGCAGGCAAGTCGCCAGGGCTTGTGTGAAGAATGCGATGGCAAAGAAAACGGAATGAGCCCCAAGTCCAGCCGAGCCAAGGGTCCTGCAGGCAAGAAGGCAACAAGCAAGAACAAGACACGGAGATATTTTCGTGTGCGCACAATTACGTGAGGCCGAAGAGGAGACAGAACTGGGCATGAGGGTCATGGCGGCTTTCTTCACATTATCGTGCAACCAGCTTCGGATGCCTGGAAGCGTGCAGACGAAGCGAACCTTCCCTTGGCCGTCCTCCAGGATCTCCTCAATGAGGGCCGTGACGATGGCGAGCCCCGTGAAGACAAGAAACAGGACCCATGGATAGTCCTGCAACAAGGGTAAACTTGATGCTAGAGTGGCTGGAAGCATCACCCCCCGTGTACCTCATCCACCACGAGAATGGCCCAGATGTCCTGCAGAGAGTCATCCGGTAGTACATCATGCATGACTGACATAGTTCATCCACCCCACCTCGGCCAAAGTCAAAAGCTGGATGAACAGTGTGATGTTGAATTCCATGTCACACATCTTCATTCTCTTCATTTTCGACTCGACTATGTCCGTCTGCCGCATCAAAATGACACAGTCGTGCTGTGTCTCCCGTGTCTCATTGTCTTCTCACGGATTTGATTTGCTCTCGTGATGCGTCGTTCGGTGCTTTGACGGCTATCGTAACACAGACAAGTCATTGGGTCTGACATTCCCTTTGTGCGTAGGCACAGACCTGGCTGCTGCAAAGGCGCTGGCTCGATCTCTGCGACGGCTGGCTGACCTGCACCTTGACGGCGAATGCTGAGCGCGTCGAGAAGCTGGGCGACCAAAAGGGACACACTCTGAGTGAAATCGGCTCTAGCTTTTGATATGCGTGTGCACCTCCATCGCCGACGGACGATCAGACGGCTCATACGCAAAACATCTCTGCACATGGGACAGAAATGCAGTAACTATTCTCGTATGCGCATTGTGACGCAGCAGACCTTGAGGGCTTCTTTGTCGGGGAAATCAGGAATATCTGGAATCTGACAAGTAAGCATCAGGGCGAGATTTTGTCGATTCATACTTTATGCAAGACTGTAGGGTTGCAGTGTTCTCACCTGTCTTCTGTTGACCACCGCATTCTTGATTTTGGACTCCTGCTTGCCGAGCTCCTTGAAGGGGGTGTCCATGCCATGAAGCTCGGCGATGATGCAGCCTACAATCGAAATAGGGGCTCTTTCCTCTGTCATGTTTTGCAGCCTTCCCGCCCTTCCGACCAAGCGACCAGATGTCCACCTCAAGAGGGAGGGTCTCGCGGTCTGCCCAGCACAAATCATGGAGACATGATGTCACGTCAACGCATCCATCCTTGGGCGTTTACTTTGATCGAAGGCCTCGGGAGCCTTGTACTGAAGTGTGCCTAGCCCGACTGCATCCTCAGGTATGGGCATCGCACTTCTGGCCGCCGAGTCAAAGCCGGCGATTTTGACATCGAAAAGGTTTTCATCCTTTTCCGACAGCTGCATCCATACACAAATTATCACTGCTCACCCTCACAACCTCCAACGACTCAGTGTCTACGGACCATGATGTTTTCGGGTTTCAAGTTGCGATGAATCTGACACATGAAAGGGAAGGTGATTGCTATCTCAATCTGATATCTCGCTTACAATCTTGTTGTAGTGAATATACTGCAAGCCCTCACAAATCTGCATGTCGCTCAGGCAAAGAAGGGGAGAGACGAAGGTCAGTGTGGTGCGTGTTTGGATCGAAAGACCTGCGCAATGAGCTTGTCGCGTATGTGATCCGGAATCTGCATGAAATGAAGACAGATGGTACCCAAACAGACGCTACGGGTGCTGTGCGGCAAGTACTTTTTCTCTTCTCATCCTCTTTATGATCAGGTAGGTGCGAAGTGTACCGCCAGTATATAGATCCATCACCACTATGCAGCCCCATTTCGTAAGCTTGATGTCTCCAGTGTTCTCATCCAACACTTCCGGCCTACTGAGGCCCTGACGTGAGACAGAAGAAAGAGTGACACGTTTTGATGTGCATCACTTACATGTATCTTGACAACATTCGGGTGATCCAGATGGAAGAAGTTCTCCTTCGCAACCGCCTCTTTCATCCTCTGCAGGCAAGCAAATCCATTCTGTCAGTACACTGGCTGTCTCTCGCTTACGGCTCCTTACGGTATAGCTGCCCTGGCACTCATCAAACATATCCCGCGACGGGACTTTGATGGCCACCGGCCGGGACCCCTTTGCGGTATGCCACATCGCTTTGTACACCACTCCTGATGTCCCGGGATAGGTGCCCAAGAAGTCCCTCTTCTCGTCAAAGTCGAGGTCTTCGAAGCGCACCATGCGAAAAGCCATGATGACGAGCCGAACAAAGCACGTCCTCGTTGCCCGGGATGGGCCTGCCAACTGGGAGACTGGGCCCCCACATGCCCCCAAGCGCCTCGCCGAGTCTCGAGCTCAAGGGGTTGAGGAGAGGCACCCACAACTAAGCCTGCCTGATGGATAGATCAAAAGAGACTGACGTGGTTCATTCATAATATGTTCAGTCCATGACCATTCTGCTGCCTTATTGACCCAAAAAGGCAGCAGAACAGCGTGAATAAGTGTCAACATATGACCCATCCCAAAGCGAACACACGCCACCACCCACCCACCCATGCAGCCACTCGGCTGATCCATCCATCCATCCATCCATGTATGTATGTATGTATGTATAACATCCCTCATTCATTCGTCAACAATGATGGAGGGTCTTCCCTCGTTCGGCCGCCCCTCCCTCTTGCGCGCGTCCTCCTCCTTCAAGAGCCCCCGCACCTCATTGCTGATGTCCTTCTGCTCCTTGAAAATACCCGCCGACGACAACACAGCACTGACACGCACACACACACACACACACGCACAGACAGACGGAAACAGTCAGGAACACAGTCAGGGAGGGCGGACACGTGCTCGGCTCACCCCCGTGTCTGCAGGAGTCCCATTATCTCGGCGAAGCCCTCCAGCGCCGCCACGTCAAGGGCCGTCCATCCCTCCTGACACACACACACACACAGAGAAAGAGAGAGAGCGCATGCAGACATCATAACCATTGTACATTAATCAGGGCGACAACAGCTGGTCGTGTGCGTACGTCTGATCTCGAGTTGGGGTCTGCCCTCTTTTCGAGTAGGAACGAGGCCACCTCCAGCTGCCCACTGACACACGCCTTTTGCAGCGGCGTCCACCCACCAGTCTGGTAGATCACTCATGAACCACGTACGTGTACGGCTGAGCCACTCGGTGAACGTGTGTGACATCGTGTGCTGACCGCAGTGGGCATGTTGACGTCTGCGCCGTGGTCGACGAGCAGCCTCACGATGTCCAGGTGACCCTTCACGGCCGCTGAATGCAGAGGCGTGTTGCCCAGCTGAACCAACATACCAACCAATGGACGACAGTGAAGAACATCCTCTCGTGTCCTCTCTTCCACCCACCCACCCACCCACCCACCCACCCATGATTGGACGTCTGTGCTGGCCCCGCTCTCGAGCATGACCTGCGTGAGCCTCAGGTGGCCCCCCTCCGCGGCGGCGTGCAGCGGCGTCCGGCCGTCCTCATCGCGGCACCTGTTTGGATTGAGGCCCTGCTCCAGCCACTGCTGAACGGCCGACTCATCGCCTTCAGACGCGTGACGGACAAACCACTCCTGGTCGGTCAGCTGAACACACACACATTCAGGCGCGTGTGTGGGGGGCGTGGGGTGGGTGTTAGCAAGTGGCTGACCACTTTCTCCTGCTCTGCCTCGACTTGGACGGTTTTCTCCCTCTCTTCCCGTCTGGCCTCCTGCTCGCCCTTCTCCTTCTGGTACTCCTCCTCCACTATGCGGATGGTGCGCGTGCCGTCATCACCCACTGTGCTGCTGCTGCTGCTGGCATCCTGTGGATCAACCACACACCGAATGGCTTGCTTATGGTGAGTGTGAGTTGCCGCGCCTTGCTCACCTCAGCAGAGAGGAGGGAGAGCACTGGCAGTCGTCTCAGGTGCCGCCTCGCAAACATAAAAGTGGGACGCTGAGGGAAGCCAGAGAGCACGTGAGGCGCACCGACATAGCCGAGGAGATCCGCCTGGATGAGTGAGTGGACAGGCAGCACAGATAGAGCAAGTGAGCGTACTCCATTCATCCGTTAACTCAATGTGCAGATCTTGCCAGACCTTGAGGCTCCGGCAGGCGGCCATGGCGAGGACAGCCAGATGGAGCAGCGCGACGAGGAGGAACATCCCAGATGCGATGGTTTTGAGCTCCAAATGGGAAGGTGATGGTCACTTGGCCGTCAGGCCGCCTAGGGTGCTCCCTGAAACCGCTGCCGGAAGCTGGTGCTCCCTGAACCTGCTGAATGCGAATCGATGAGTTCATCTGTTCCCATTGAGTCGCCTCCTCTGGGCACCACTCACCGGTGACGGATGGAACCACAAAAAGAGCGCCAGGTACGTCCAGGACTGGACAAAGGAGAAAGGAGAGAGAGAGGAGCATCAGTTGAAGGATCGCATGCAGATGGTTTGTGTGCGTCTGTGTCCGTCTATTGATTCAGGCGTGTGGCTCGGCATCATGGCCCAGCCTTCGTCCACGACAGTCGGAAGATCTTCCGCATCGCAAGCACCTCCTGCTGTGCCGCTCGGCTGCAAGGGGCTGGATGACGTCGAGATCGTCCCCGATGAGGGCGTCAGTGTTGTGAGTCGGCAGCTGTTGGAGGGCTGCATCCGCCGCACCATAACCGATGTCAGCCAAGTCACACAGCTGATACGTCAAGGGGCCGATCCGAGAGCCATCGGCAGCCTGCGCGTCCGCGGTACCACAGCAGGCCCGATCTGGCGATACAGCTGCCTGTGTTTCGCCATCGACAGCCCAACAGAATCACCATCCCTCACTGCAAGCGGCGCCTATGACTCTTGCGTGCCCGTCGCCCTGCCACAGTGGTCCTCCCGTCAGCTGCAGCGTGACATCATCAGTGCACTCATCGACGGCGGGGCGGACATCAATGCAGGCGGCAGCTTCCTCTTGCCCCTCCCCGTGTTAGTGGCCATCGCGGCGGGCAATCTGCCGGCTGTGGAGGCCCTCCTGGCGCGCCAGGCCAACGTGCGGGGAATTATGGTGATGGAGCTTCCCTACATTCCTGATGACGCCCCTCCCGCCACTCGCGAGTACGAGAACAACCTGATGTCAATCTACCGTCGGCTCATCCAACACGACGGCACACTTGCAGCTGAAAGAAGTGGTGGATGGAACCTCGTCCATTCCGCCGCTAGATCTGCTGCCTTCTCCCAGCTGTTCATCGGCCAGTACCTAACCCTCATTAGCCCAGCAGCCGAGATGATTAGGGCAACAAACAATGTGGGCGCCACGCCACTGCACGTGGCGGCAGGCAACGGCCTCCCCTGGGTGCTCGAGTGGCTGTGCCGCCAGCTCACACCCGACGACGTCAACATAGAGAGGCCGAACCGGCCCAACCAGACACCCCTCGCCATCGCTGCCGAGCGGCTCGATCCCCTCATCCAGCAGCAGCAGCAACAGGGAGATGGCCAAAGGGAGCGGCTCGCGAGATGGATCCGCGAGTACCAGACCGCCATCCGGACGCTCCTGCGGGGCGGGGCGGCCCCATCCAGCGCCCGCATGCCCACTGACACTGAGAAGAACCGCCGTCGACGCCAACTGGTGCTGGCCGAGTATGCGACAGTGCTGAATGAGCTGTCCGAGGTCGTCATGTCTGCCATCAATGCCGGCCTCGCCCCCCAGCGTGACCACTCGATGCGTCTCGCCCGTCTGCTGCCCCTTGCCCCCCATCACGACGGCGCCCACCCCTACCCCGCCCCCTCCAACCTCTCATTCGGACCACACGAGGCAGAGGCCATCGGCTGGAAGATCGGCGCCTTCCTGTACGAGCCCTCGGCTGCCGTGGCGGCCATCGACGACTACCTCATCGGTGAAACACTGATGAGGCGCCGGGTGCGTGCGGCCGTCAGCCACTTCGTCAAGTCGGCGGCCACACAGTCGAGCTGCAACAGGGAGGTGGTCGGAGGGCCGGTGGGGCCGGTGCAGCAGGAGGTCGAGGAGGGGGAGGGCCAGCAGCGCGCCAAGCGCGCGAAGGTGTCCAGGCCGCCCCTGCAGTGCTTTGCCATTCGTAGTGGTGCTGACGGTGTGCTGACGGGTGTGCGTGAGGTGGTGCACAGGGCCCGGCTGGACGAGGCGGCGCAGCACGGTGTCGAGGGTGTGGTTAAGGGCTTCAACGAGCACCTCGGTGATCAGGATTGTCAGTTTCAGTGGGAACAGCTGGGGCGCATCGATAGGACCACCGGGCTGTTTGTGTCGCTGGGCCTCGACTGACTGACTGACTGACCGACTGAGGCAAAGGGCGGGAATGAGGAGGGAGGGAGGGAGGGAGTGTCTACTTCGCTACATTTGCTACATTTGAATGCATGTGTTTACTACGGACACGGTCGTGACGTTCATGGTGATTCGTTGAAGTGCATGCCTTTCCAGCCAGCCACTAGACTGTTCGTTTGTATATGCCATCCATGTGCTCATCTACCCACCCGTCCCTGCATCCATCCATCCATCCATCGGTCCCTGCAAACAACAGGAATGCATGCGCACACACCACGGCCAGGCCACGCTAGCTACATAAAAGTCCCTTACATTCCATTCAGCAAAGAACGAACCGCCGATAAACACTACATGACATGGAGTGGAGGGGGCGAAGGATGAAATCAATCAGAAAACCCCCGCCTTCCACTGTCTTGGCTGCGTCAGCGAACCCACACCCCCCACGTATATAAAGCTGAATCCCTCATCTCTCTCTCAGAAGTATACATGGCATCTGAATCCCTCATGTGTGGGTGCGTTAGTCTGTCTGTGTGTGTTGTCGAAAAAAGAGTCCACTAAAGCGCAGGCAGATTGGGCGTATCGTATGAAGGTGTGTGTGTGCATGTGACTGAGGGTAACTTCACTACTAGAATGGATGGATGGATGGGGTTGATGGGTGGATGCGCGTGTATCCGATGATACATGCACGCCATGACGCTCCCTACTACTGCAGCAGTCGCTCTCTCTCTCTCTGCGTGTGTGTTTGTGCATCTTCCGACAAGAAAAAGCGTCACATGCAGTCAGACAGACAGCGACAGACAAACTGTCCCCCTTTACCCCCACTCAACGAACGTGTATAATAGATAACACAACACAAGGTGGATAGGATAGCTGACATACTATGTGGTGCGAGGACGTCTGAGTGCGTGTCTATTCCTCGTCAGGCACAAAAAGCCCCACGCAACTGCCAGAGCCCACACACGCCTCGCCGTCAGCACAGCCTACACACACACACACACACACACAGAGGTGGGTGGACGTCCACGTGGGTGTGGGCGTATCCCATCTGGATCTAGTGTGGGCCCTACCCTCTTCTGCGTCGCAGTCGTCAGCGCCCTTCCGCTTGTGGCAGGTGCACTTGTCGAAGATATCGCCGAGCAAACTGATGCCGGCGGCACGCTCCACGCAATCCTCTCCTGCACACGTACCGGACACAAACGCCTCAGCCGCGACCCATCAACATGCCCATCCCCACGTGAGGTACAAACATACCCTCAGCACAGTCACAGACGTCCTGGTCCTCCTCTGGGCAGAGTTTGCGGCACACATTCGAACGGATGGTGCCCAACGCAAACCTGCACACGTAGACAGACACACAAGAAAGAGACAGGCAGACACGCAGATGGGCACCGACCGATGTGACCAGTCAATCTAGAAATATGTGAGTGCTTGTGCCGCCAATGCATGCTATGCGCACCATTCGACGCATGTGTAGTTGCCCGTGCAGACGCAGGCCTCGCTCTCGGTGCGGCATATGCCTCGGTTGACTGTGTCATCCAACCCCACCTCGCCCAGGACCTTCACGCAGTGCTGGTTCTCCTCACAGTCCTCCTTCTGCATTGGACCACACACCGGTGAGTGAGCATGTGTGCACACCCCCGCTCTATGTGTGCGCCCACCGATTGGCAGAAGAGCTGGTCCACACGGCCCTGGATGTCCTGGAAGACCGACGTCTCGTTCTGGCGAATCAAACGCACATATCCAGCACAATGCAAACGTATCGCATCTCCCCTTGGCCCTCGTCGTCATGCATCTGCAGTAATCACCTCCTGAAGCTTCCGCAGGTGAGGCGGCTCCTCCGCAGACGCAACCACTGCCAAAACGGCCAAGACGCACAAGATCTGAAGCAAATAACACACAGGGGCCACGTCGACAGCATGAGCACGTGACCATGGGAGGCATCGCTGACCTTCATTGTTTGCGGAGGGGAAAGGACAGAAGATGCGGGATGCGATTGAGTCGGGGTGACAGATGCAGGGACAGAGAGATGCGATAAAGGGCAAGGAGCTGCGATAGGAGGGGGAGCGGCGGGCTCTAGAGAGATCTTCACTGCGAGCTCTCTCCAGCGATCCGCTCAAGAGCGGGCAAAACGAAAAGGGAAGTAGGGAAGGTGGCAGGGCAGGACCGACGGATTCACATGCAAAGGTACGCTGGAACAATTATGAGTGAGAAAGTGTGTGACTTGAAGATCTCAACATCTCTGCGTTATGGTGGCTGTGCAGGTAGGTTCTCCCATAGACCATGACGTTTGTGCGATGGCTCCACCAGCTGTGGTCCTCCAAGCTCCGCCCAGCATTCTCGCTGCCGCGGCCTTGCGACTGGGGTGCTCTTGCTATCGCTGTGGGTGCGTACGCTGCCATTGCGGTGCCCATTGGCTTCTCGACAGGCATCCTCAAGAGGAAAGTTGCGGACCTGCCAGCCTGGAGGATAGCTGCTGGCAGCGCCGCGGCTCTCGTGGTGCCATGCTTTGTGGAGGAACTGGTGTTCCGCGTGCTACTTTTGCCGACACCCGCCTACCTGCAGCAAGTAGCTGAGAGGCTCTCACAGAACAGCAGCGGCGCTCGTGGGTATCTGGTGCTTATCGGGGGCGCCGCGATCATCGTGAACACGGCCATCTTTGTAGCCATGCATCCGCTGAATGCGGTGCTTCTGCGGCCTGAGGCGAGGCGGGTATTCTTGAATGTGTGGTTCCTCGTGCTGTGCGGCGTCCTGGGAGTGACGGCGGGCACGTTATACTTGCTTAGCGGCAGAGTATGGGGACCGACGCTATTGCACTGGTTTGTGGTCTTCCCCTGGTTGTTTTTTCTCGGCGGATATGCAAAGCTCAGGGGAGAGGAGTAGAGAGGCGGCGTGATTGGGGGTGGATGTACAGACTGATTGGCTATCAGGGTTGCAAGTGCTGTGCAGGAGTCGTGAATGTGCATAGGAGGAGAGGATGACATTATTTTTCGTCATGTGTTCTGATGACGGACAGAGGCATTTAGGTGCAGCCTGATGGCAGCCAGCTGATATGGACAGATGTCCCTTTTCCCTGCTAGTCAGACAGTCAGACAGTCAGCCCCTTCCCATCAATGCATCACTTCTGGTCCTCCTCGGCTCGTCTCGGCTCCCATCCATCCATCCATCCGTGTGTGTCCATCCCAACATTCAATATCGGCAGCCGCCCAAAACGACACTGCAAAGACATGCCATTGGCCTTCCTCGCCTCCAAAGACGTCGATCACGCGTCCATGATGGTCTTCCTTGCATGGCGAAGCCTTTGACTTGTGCATCAGGTCCTACAGTCAACCACATGATGCGTTGCGATCAGCCATTTCGATGAGGAGCTTGTCTCACCCGCCTCGTAGCGTCCAGCAGCCCGCTACGATGAGACCGGTGACGACCAACAGTGAGCCCAGGATGATGAGTGACATTTTCGACGCCAATCAGACAACGCGGCTAATGCCTTGATGGAGAACCTCTGAGACGGCGCCCCCCACTTGAGACGGCCGGCCCCCATTAGGCCAGCCCCCAACCCTTAATGCAGCGAACAGTGGCGCTGAGCGCGTGCGATAGTCACGTGCACTTTCCATGATGGACACTCGTGAATGTGTTCTGTCTCGCAGCTCATGCATCCATCAACGGTGCCTGTGGCGGCAGTCTATCGACAGAGTGAGCACAGGGCCTGCGCTGAGCAGCAAGCAGAGCAGTGGGAGGACAGACACACGGCACGGCTTGTACAACGCCAGAGAGCAGATAAAAAAAGCAGACAAAAATCAGAGACAGAGAGCAACGGCAGGACTCTGCTGCAGGAGAATGCCACAAACCCACGCCTACCCCCCAGCAAGAGAGAGGAAGTGGATGCATAGCATGTCACAATGTGAGGCTTCAGTCATCCAGTTGGCAGAGCAGTGCGACCCCTCTTCTGATCCAATGGTCCGACTCCTTATCTGTCCAGACGAACAAGACACGACACGAGAGACATGAGCCCCAGCCAGAATTGCGGCTGCAGCTGTGTGAGCCTCACCAGTGTGCAGGTCAAAGAAGAGGACAAAGTTGGTCGAGTGGCCGGTAGTTGACAGCGTGCCCGCTCTTGTAGATGTCTTATACAATGGACATCTGACAAACAAACAGCCACACAGCTGCGAAACGACTGCCGCGCTCTCAGTCAAATGTGTTAGCCACGTGACCTGTAGTCCTTTTTGTTGTCAAGCTTATCGATGTCGACAGGGTCGATCCAGATGACGGGCATTGGCACAAACAACTGGCCCTTGGCAGACTCACAGAGCTTCCGGCCAGCCACGTCCCAACCAGCACCCTGCACGAGTGCAGCCACAAAGCAGTTGACGTCTCTGCCTGCCCGTGATGCCCCCTTGTCCTTCCTTCAGCCTGCCTGTAAGAAGAGTCCGTGTATGTTGACCCCCCTCTCGGGCGCCTCAGTGATGTCCGCCGCCTTGAGAGTCGACACCTCCGTCCTGAAAGTCAGCGTGTCGATGGGTATCTGAATATCCGACAAACACACCCATGACAATAGAGACATGCACTCGTTCCCTCCTCTGTCGTCACTCACTCTCGTCTTTCTGGCATGTCTCTGCAGCGTGCCCGTCATGAAGCCCTGGGGGAAGAAGAATGACGGGAGCCAGAAGGAGAGTGGCGGTCCGCCGACGAGCCACCCCTGCAGGAACTCCAGTCTCTCGATGAAGTCGTTGACCCACGATGCCAGCGGCTTGAGGCAGGGGTAGGCGGCGTTGAGCCATATGGTGGGCACCTTCTGGAAGAGGAAGGAGTTGTACATGGTCTCCAGCTCGGCCGACATCACCACAAGACCCTTAATCGCCTGATACGGACCACAACAGCGTTGCGGAGGTTGCCGTGTCCATGCGTGCGTGTGTACGTACCTTTTGCAGGTCAGCGAGCGACTTCTTGACCACTCTGATGAGCTTGTCGAATCGGTCCAGCTCTTGGGAGAAGAAGACACTCAGCGATGCGCCGGGGTCCTCTTTGGCGTCTTCGCCCTCGCCCTCGCCGCCCTTGTTCTGCACAAACGTGGCTGGATGTGCCTTGGACCGGTCGAAGGGCGCTGGTATCCGCGCCTCGATGGACTCAGCAAGTTCATAGACGATCTCATCGGTCGTCTTGCCGGAGCCGCCTGGATTGACCGAGATTCGTGTATCAAGAGTGGCGGGCAGGAGTGCTGTTTGCTTACCTGCAGGTATTCTTGGTTGGACAGAGATGACGACGTCAAGGAAGTCGCGCGCCTCCTTCTCTTGGCAGCTGCACAGTGGGGAAACGACACATGACGCCACGGACGCGGCGCGTCTTGTCTGCTGCTCACGTGATGTTTGCATTCATGTGCAAGCCAAAGACGTCCGGTTCCTCATCCATAGGCAGAGTCTGGCAAGAGACACAGGATCTATGCTCTGCCTGCCCGTCTCTGCCTGACTTACGTGAACGTAATTGCGGACGGACTCCAGGTTGCCCTCTGGCGGTGCGTGATATATGTCACTTTCCGCCAGCTGATAGCCGTCGTCCATTATGTCCGCACAGAAGTATCGCGCCAGGATCGCATTAATCAACCTGACATCCTTGTCGTCGGTGACTCTGCCGCCATAGTTGACCTCCGACACGATGTAATTGAGCGTCTGGTACGGCACACCCGGCTGCTCAGTCAGATACCTGCATACATACGCGTGTACAGAGCGGTCACTTGCCTGATGTGCTTTCGCGCCGTTGAGACATACATGTTGAGTTGTTGCAGGGAGACCTCGAAGTCGCTGTTCATCCACTCATAGGGGATGTTCCAACCAATGGGGCCAAACTTGCGCCGTTCGAGGATCACCGCGTGGAAGAAGGCGAGGGCGAAGAGGAGCTTCTTGAACTCCCTGCCCTTGATGCAGCTCTCGTACACATTCTCAGATATGTCCAGGAAGCTGCGAGTCAAGTTGGCCTTCAGACCCTGCACACATACACACACAGCGACAGCATTTGCTGAACAGAGAGTGTGCAGCCCAGTGGTCTGCGTGCCTTTGGCGGCTCATTTGTGATCTTGATTCCGCTTTGCAGCACTGGCACGGGGAACGTGGGTGTGGGCATGGATGTCAGCCAGAGACGGTAGTTGGGGTCAATGTCGTCCTCGTTCTGCTGCTCCTGAATGCGCTCGAATGAGGGCATCCAACTGGCGGCCAAGTGACAATTCTGCAGACACACCCAATCGCCCTCCTGCCTGCAGAACAAGCAGATTGTCACATTTAGCCCGGAAAGAGCGAGGCGGGCCTTGTGCCGCGCGTCACCTGGCAAGCTCGATGAGCCGCTCTGCCTTGACGCCCTGCCCCTGGCCGAGCGACAGTATGTGCAGCCGCTCTTCCCCAGGGCCGTTTTCCTTGGCCAGCTTGAGCAGGTAGCCGATCGGGTCGGCACCAGGACTCAGCACAAAGATGATGGGCGAGATGTTTTTCGAGTCCTGGTAGGCTCCAAGCAGGTCGAACGGTGGAGGCTCGACGAACTCTTTGCCAAGCTCGGCTGCTACAAAGTTGCGGACAGCGAAGAGCAGATTCTCTTCCCGGAAGGACTTGACGAGCAGCAGCTGCTGGAAGGGGGTCAGCTTGTCAGAGAAGCCGTCGGGCATGGGTATCTTGTGGAGGTTGTCGTTGTCTCTGTACGCCTGCCAGTCAGCGCTGTTGGCCGAGACACTGGCCGACAAGCCGCCGAAGGAGCCGCCCACAGTCTGATGACATGAACATTGACGAGCAAGTGGGAAGCGATGCATCAACGATGCCTTCTTACCTCTTCCAGGACTTTGAGCTTCTGCCAGAGCGTCGAGTCGACCCATTCAGGGGGAGCCTCTCCTTCGTTGCTGCCTGGCCGCGACGCGTCCCTGCCCGCCTCCACACCTCTGAGGAAGAACATCCACTCAATCGGCTGGATGCGCTCGTTTTTGCGGAAGATGGACACGGCGTTGAGGAAGGAGTACAGCAGCTTGTGTCGCTCGAAGAGGCCGCGGCATATGTTCTCGTAGAATTTAGTGGTGATGTCTGTGAGCAGAATGCTGAGACGCCCTTCTATGACGTCGCTCTTCTGGCTCTTTGCCAGCCGTTGGTTGAAGAGGCCGACGAAGTAGTCGAGACTGTACTGGTACATGGGGTCGATCAGAGCCAGGTCGGCGATCACAAAGTATAGCAGGCTCCCGCTGCAGCCATCACCACGGAGTATATTCACACACTGGAGGATCATGTGTGTCTCTTCATTCAGTGTACCCACCGCAGTGCGACCGATCTATACGACTCACGGGCGTCGTTGATCTCCTTGGCTGTCACCTCGGCTACCTTCATGCGCTCGCCGACCGTCTCGGATGTCTTCTTGGACTCATCCAGCGTGTTGATGAGTGTCTCGCTCTCGAGGATGTTGTCGCCAGCCTCAGCAATCAACTGCAGGGAAAGAAGACGGCGCATCTTTAAGGCAAGCGCCACACAACGAGCCGCTCTTGCTGACCCTGAGGATTTCCTGCTCGAGGTTGGCGAGCGTGGCCTTGTCATTGGAGATGGACACCACCAGGTCATTGCGCTTCTCCTCCAGGTCAGGCCGCTCGTGATTGACCACCTCGATGAGCAGCTGGTCCTCCAGCCCCTTTTGTGTGACGGTGAAGTTGATGATGGTGACCTTGATGCAGACCTCGGGTAGGTAGTGGGGGTTGGCCATCTTGGTCGTGATGTAGAAGCGGAAGTTGGGCGAGTACGGCACGTCGGTGTCACCCAGGCGCAGGAGCACCTGGCCTCCCTTCTTGAAAGTCTGAATGTAGCAACAGGCAGAAGTGTCGGTCTACGCCTCACAGTTCCAACGGTGGAATACCTGTTTTTGCAGCACTGGTTCGATTGCCGGGTCAAGAATCTCTTCCACGTTCTCGAGTAAGACAGGATTGCCCATCCTGATGCCGTTTTCGAGGCTTCGAAGGAAGTTTGGCTCCGACAAACGAATCACCTGGATGTTCTGCGTCTTGCCTGTGTTCTTGATCCACTTGTTGGCTTGTCCCTGTGGGTCAATCATGAGCGGCCACCGTCTCCCTCTCGTGACGAAGATGCCGTTTTCGATGGACAGCTGATCAGCTGGCAGCCCCTTGATGTTCCACTCACGCACCTGCACAAACAGTGGGACACGCACCTCCCGGCCGACCGGCACTTGATGTGAGCCTGTCTCTGCCTATTGCCCACCTCGGCGGGATCAGCGAGGGTCTTCTCCAATGTGTAGTTGGGGTCGACCTTGAGCCCCCACTCAGTGCACTTGCCGCCCCATCGCTGCAGGATCGACTGGCGGTAGCTGGCCGTGAAGGGGCCAAGGTACGCTATCATCCCTGCACTCAAGATGATGTTTCCAATCAGGTTGCTCATCGCTTCCTCCAGCTCGGTCGCGGATTTCTCCCACCGCACGGCCTCGTTGCCCAGGCCAGCCACGAGCTTTTGTGCGCGGTCAAGTTTCACTCGTGCGTCTTCCATGTCTCGTTGCAGCTTCTCCGACTTGGCCTTGGACTCCTCATACTGACGAAGGAGTGCCGCAACACTGCAGTCAGGGAAAGCACACCGAAGAATGATAGAGCTGTCATGGCTGGTTGGTAGCTGTTACCGGTCCTGCACTTCTTTGAGCTCTGCCTGCTTCTGTGCCAGCTTGTCCTCCGCCGCCTTGAGCGACGCCTCGGCCCCCCTCAGTCGCTCCTTCTTGGGCTCGATGTTCCTGGCCACCTTGGCGTAGGTGTCCATGGCCTTCACCCACATGCACAGGGACGTGGCTGCCTTGGACACAGTAGAGACCTTTTGCGGGTTGAAGTCTTCCATCGTGATGTATTTCTGGGCCTGCTGCATCAACTTGTTTGAGATGGCATCCTGCATACACACACACACACACACACACTTTCACAGGAGCCATCCAAATGTAAGGGCACACCTTATTGTATTCCTTCAGTTGCTGCATGAAGTTGGCTTCGTTGAGCAGCTTCTTGGCGTCATCCCACGTCTGCTTGCGACCCAAGAACAAACACACGGCTGACATCACCGTCTCGACCAGCTGGGGCGGCTTAGCGAACGATTTCACCTCCTGAGGAGACATCATTGCCGTCAGTGCGTTTTGTCACGGATGATAGTATGTTGATCAGACCTGAATGTCCTTCTTGTCCAGGGAGTCGAGGGCTTTGATGGCAGCATAATATTCGGGCAGGGCCTCATCGAGATCTCGTTGGCAGTCATCCTTGATCTCTTGGGCCTCCTGAGATGCCTTCGAAGCCTCTATCTCGTCAACCTTGCACGCCTCGGCCGCCTCTTGGGCCAACTGCTGGTCCTTCTCAAGTACAACCATGAGTTCGGCAGTGTCTTTGCTGGCTTTGTCGAGCACAGGCTGGAGCTCGATCAGCTGGCGCTTCATCTGGTCGACCACCACATTGGTCTCCTCCATCCGCTGCATACCCACCTTGTACCGGTTCAGACGGGTGCCCAGCAACTCACGCTGCGGGCATAAAACATAAAGCAGAACAGTAGTCGAGGGTATCTCATGGATCTGTCACCTGCTGTTTGAGCATGTCGAGGTACAGTTTGATGAGCTCCAGATATGATGTGGGTGTGGTGTATGTCCGGCGCCTCAACTCGTTGTAGAAACTCTCAGCAGACTCTGTCACGCTGTCATGGATCTCCCCTGACATCCTGGTCGGCCACATACACACACGTCTCGTGCGAGGGCGACAATAGGGGACAATCCTTACTTGCAGAGCTGATCAGTGACGGACTCGATGCCGAGGTCTTTCTGCTCCGAATAGAAGCGGTTCGCCACCGAGTACAGGGCATCTGGCGGCCACGCGTTGAACCTAACAGACGAGGCGAGACTCAGATTGCGGCCCATAAATGCTCACACCTCACCAGTCGATAGTGCAACAGTTGACAATCGACGGGAACTGTCTGCATCTCGCCCGGAATTTCTCGCCAACCGGTGAGAACGCCAGGATGATGTGCAGCAGATCGCGGACCATCGACACAAAGTACTGCAAGATCGCATCGCGGGCGTCGGGCTTGCCAGCAGCCTGAGACAAGAAAAGAGATTGATGCAATGGCAGGAAGAGGGAATGCAGCTTCGTCTGATCGACTGACCTTGGCGGCCGGTCGTGTAAGGCCAATGATCTGCTCAGTCTCATCCACAGCAAACAGATTTGGCACCTCGCCAGTGTTGACGATGTTGTTGATGTCCTCGAGGAACGACTCCTTGACCTGACGTGATAGAGACAGACCGAGAGTGTCTCTGTGCTGCTTTCTGCACTCATTCTCACGATTTGCGTGTCTGAGAAGAAGAAGGCGATGGGCTTCTGGTTCTTAGCGATGTTCATCATCATGCTCTTGATGTCCTCCCTGAACTCGGCCGTGCCGTACTTCTTGGCTATCTCGATCGAGAAGAGGTGGTAGTCGGACATGAAGGCCGCCAACCGCGACAGCGAGTTGCGCCCGCTGCCTCCCACACCGATGAGCAGGGCATTGCCGCGTGGCTGCCGGATAATACGGCAGATGCGCGCGAGGTGGTGCTGGGCGTCCTTGAAGAACACCAGATTCATTCTGCTGGGGAAGGTGATGTTGTGTTCTTGGAGGTACTCGTCGAAGATGGAGGCGAGCTCTTCCTGGCTCTTGTCGATCAGCTGATAGGGCTTCTCGTTGCGGCCGAGGAAGTCGCCAAAGATGATTTCCTTGAAGTCGTCGGCTGCCCAATCGAGCCCCAAGTGTGTCTTGACTTTTTCCTGGATGAGGCCGTTGAACCAGCTGCGATCCGTGTCGTCAATCAGACGGTCGCGGAACTGTCGACACGACTCATGGATCCACAGCCTCGTTAGCACTTCCTTGTCTTTGAGGCCGGCAGGGTCGATCATGAGCATCCCTTGCACAACTTTAGATGGGTCGCGGAGGTTGAACGTGTAATGGCTCTTGGACGGTGTCGGCAACAGATCATTCACGATCCTCAAGTAGATCTGAAAGCGTAGTAGTGTGTTGGCCGACACAGCAGCGGCACATGGCGGTCTGTCTCACGCATACCTCGACTCCCGCTTTGATGAGAGAAGTTGAGATGTCTTTGAGTGACGGCTCCGTGATCTGCAGCCAGCCGCCCAGAATGGAGGAGAAGATGCGGACCATGGCTGGCTCGCCCAGATTCGTCATCCAGAACATGTTGTAGTGGCGGAAAAGACTGCAAAGCAGGAGACATGATTTCTGTCGCTTATTGCGCGGTATGAAGGTCTCATCTTCACCGAGGAGTGACGGCATTTCTTCCTCCACCGGGCGGCGCACAGGCGAGTATATACTGCACATCTTTGACGCTCTTGTAGAAGAGCTTCTTGCGGTCGTAGAAGCCCTTGTGGTCCATCACCTGCCGCAGCAGCTCGATGGGCGGCTGAGCGCCGTACGTCTCAAGCTGTGGCATGTTGACGTCGTCGATGAAGATGAGCATTCGAGTGCCTGGCGGGGGACCCAGAAGATTCTTGCGCTTGGCAATCAGCTTCGACTCAAACACGTCCTGCGAGTCCAGAAAGCAGAGTGCGGCCGAAGAAGCTGCTTGAGCCTTGTCGGTCGATGCTAGCCTACCTGTAGGTTGGCGGATGTGGTTTGTGCCGAGAAGTTGACGCCTCCCGTCACAAATCCCTCTGGCACGTGGTTGAGGAAGTTCTGAATGCCCACCGACTTGCCCACACCAGTGTCGCCCGACCACAAACAGTGGTAGCCGGCCGTCATGATGTTTTCGAGCAGCATCTTCTGGGTGACTGTGTCTTGTGTCGGCACGAGTATGTTGAAGAAGGACACCCGTGGGTCGTACTCGAAGTCTGGCACGATGGACTCGAACGTGATGAACTTGCCGGTGTTGTCTACTGACACTGAGTAGCAGTCGGACGAGGGGAACTCGGGACACCAGGACTGTCAATGCGAGAGGACACACACTCATCGTCACGTGTTGGTTGGCGTGCCTCCTTCCCTACATACCTGCAGCTGGGGCACCAGGAAATCGGAGAAGGCAGGTCTGGAATTCTCATGCAGGTTGCCGCCGAGAGACCAAACCGCAGAGAAGGCCCAGTACATACGGACCTGACAAGCCCCATGAGTCGTTGATAGATATGTGTGCAACAGAGGTGGTGGGTGGGTCAATTGACTCACCAGTCGCTGCTCCTCCTTCGTGTTCTCGCCCTTGATCTCGTTCCGCTCGTCGATGAATGTCCACATCAGGCGGCAGAAGGAGTCGATCAGGTTCGCGTCGACAGAAGAAATCACTTCCTGCGTGCAGAATACATGCAAAGACAAGTGTTAGTTAAGTGAAGGGCACGATGGACCAAGCAGGATACCCGACAGTTCTTGCGTATGAATGGGATGGCAGCGTCGCACAGCTGGATGGTCCATTCCTCGAGCTGCTTGGCATAGTCGGCGTACTTCTTCGTGAAGCGCTCGCCCCACGTCTGACGAGTGACATCGCCGACCAACGGTGATCGAGCCATGTCCGGTGCATATCTTTGTTTCCTGTCTCTACCTGCACGAGGCACTTCCAGCCGAGGTGCAACGGCTCGAGGTAGACCATGCCGCACCGGCTTACGGTTGCCGGCGAGGCGACAGCAAGATCCTGCACCTCGAACATCATCGTTAGGGTGGAGGGCAGCTTGATGCGCTCGCCGTTGGCCAGACAGAGTGTCTTATTGTCGTCGAGGACGGTGTTCATGTTCTCAATCCACAACGCATCCACTGGGCCGTCGAAGTTGACCCACTTCTTGTTCGGGCTTGTGTCGGAACAGGCCTCGCGGACAAGCTGCATGGGCGAAGGAAAGCTGTATTGCACAAGCCCAGAATGATAGGGGAGAGCGTACCTGTCCGATGAGTCCGTCTGTCCACTCGTTGGTCACCGGGTTAGTGGCACCGTAGAGCTCGTCCATCGTCACCGACTTGGGATTGAGGGTGATAACCTTCGTCACCTGAGACACACAATCGAATGGGTAACGGCAGGCATGACGCTCTGTCACGCGTCACTTGATAGTTAGGATCGGCGTGTTCGTCCTGTCTGAGCTGGGTGAGAGCCTTAGCAAGAATGTCCGAACAAGTGGTCTTTCCAGTGCCAGTCACACCAACCTGACGGACAGAAGAAGTGTATGTGGACAAAAATAATCCAACAACGAGCAATTGCGTCTCTGACTCCTCACCAGCATCACTCCGTGCCTCACAATCTGCGTCTCGAGAAGCTGAATCACCTTCGTCACATATGCAGGCACGACCTGGAGACAAGGAGACACGCATTTGCAGATAAGGCAGGGTATTCTGCATCCATCCATGAGACCCACCTGGAGCTCATGGTCCCTCAACTGTTTTTCAATGGCCTTCTGCAGGTCGCCATAGTCGATGTAGGGCACGACAGCATCAGGGAACAGGTCAGATATGATACCCATGAACAGAGGCAAGTCGTGGCTCAAAAACTTCGGTACATTGCTGTCACGCATCGCACTGCCAGCCGAAAAGGGACACGGGAGGCAGCGTCAAACAAACGGTTGTCTTAATGTGACGGACCTCTTTTGTGACTCACCGAATGAGCACAATATTCTCATCGAGGTCAGGATTGGAACGCTTAAGCGTCCCGGCCATGACCAGCACCGACTTGACCGCTCTCATGCCAAAATCGTAATGATCCTGCATACCGTGACCGTGCATCAGCAGGATCAAGTAATGCTCCTTTGAGGGGACTGTCTACCTGTTTGGAGAGCTGTTCGGACGACAGCTTGTAGAGATTGACCATCTTGCGAGCGAGGCTGTTGGCAGAGTCGAACCCCTCAGAAAAGAGAATGATCTCCGCGATGAGCCCATAGTCGGGAATCATCATGGCGACAGGACGAAAGAGCGACTTGAGATTGTCGGGCAGTTCGGTACGGCCAGCGTAGCCAGGATTCATTGTGATGAACACACCGAAGCGGGAGTTGAGGGGAATCTCGCGACCCTCAAATTCGAATATGGTCTTCTTGCCGCGGATGGCGCTCTGGATCTTGAGCATCTGCTGCGCAATGACCGACAAGACCTCAACGTCGATCCGGTTGAACTCGTCGAAGCATGCCCACGCGCCAGCCTGTGCCAGTCCCGAGAAGAAACGACCCATCATTTTGTAGTCCAGCCCGTCACTGCAGTTAAACACCACGCACTGCACGGCCAGCGCCTTGGCCAAATCCTTAGTCGTCTCGGTCTTCCCTGAGCAGTGACAATGTGTGTCTAGGCAGGTTATCGCAAGAGCCAGTGCTTTCACCTGTTCCTGCCGGCCCGGCAGGCGCCCCGCCATAGTTGAGGTGGAGTGCGCCCGTGAGGGTCATGTAGCACTTGTCTGTCAGGGGAGTGATCACGAGGCGGGGTGTGTTGCCGAGATACTCGAAGGCGTAAAGGAATCGCGTGTTTGTCTGACGAGCGGTGCAGTTGTCGATCTCCGCCTCCCAGTAGTACCGGAGCTGCTTGGTCCACTCAAAGTCGTTCACAGAACTGCACTTCTCCAGTATCTGTATGAGACACAGCCGTACGCCCGTCGATCCCTGTGATGCATGTGGCGACTGTCTTGCAGCCGACTGACCATGGTTCTGACGACGTCTCTCGCATGCACATCCAGCACAATGAGGGCACCCATCATTTTGCGCTGCAGCTTCGTCAGGTTGGACCGCACCAACGCCACAGACCTACACAAAGCATTTGTGTGTGTGTGCATCAACCCTTCTCGCTCATCACTCGCACTTTGAGATTTGTGACTTCATAAATTCAAAGAATGTCTCCATGGCCTGTGGGTCCTTGTTGGTGCTGATGTTGTTGAGCGCTGTCTCGACGTCGAAAGTCCAGTAGATCAGATCAACCATCTGAACATACAAGGACACTCATCAAACGTGTGTCAAGCGGGCGTGTCTGGTTTCATACGAGAATGGTCTGTGCGGGGTATGCAAAGAGCCACTCCTGGCGGTTGAGGGCATCCTCAGGGTAATCCTTCCAAGCAGACTTGCTTTGCTCGTACAGTCCCTGTCTCATCTGCTCCTCGATCTTGGTGAGCCAGCCTTCCACTGGACCTTGCGCCATGACCTGAGAGGCGAACGGGACATACTCGCCCTCGATGCTCTTCATGCCCTCCACAGTAACAGACTTCGGCTCGTCGGTGAACTTGATCCTGTGCATGGCGTCGAAGCATTTGGACAGATGCTCCTGGACGGCATGCGGATTGCGTGTCTGCGATAAGATGGACAGCAGCTCGTCGTTAGACAGGAAGTAGAAGCGGGGGAAGGCAGCTCGCTTCGTCTCAAGGTAGTCCTCAAGGCTCTTTTGCACTTCCTCCAGCGTCTTGTTGGCCCACTGGAGCTTCTTGAGCAGGTCTGGCTGCGATACTGCCTGGATAACGTTCTTGTACGATTGCCGCACCCGCTTCAGCAGGTCCTTCCAGAACTTGTCGACTTGCATAAACTTTGCTGACTCTGCAGGAAGCTGCTTCTGGATGTCTTCGGCCGAAAAGATGTTCTCCAGATACATCCATGCCCGTTGCACCTGAATCCACTCGTCTGCACACAAAGGGCGTGGATACACGGCTTTGTGAGCATGTGCGTCCACCATACCTACCGAGCACATCTGACGTCAGATTCAGTTTCCTCTCCCACTCCTCCACTTGAGCGCGGATGCCAGCAATGAACCTTCCAAGCAGACACGCACACACAAACGCTTCCGCATGGGTGTCACAATTCTCGCTTCGTCTCACCTGCTGCCCATCATGGTCTGCACGGTGACTGTGTGGTCTTCAAGAATGGCGATGATTTCAGTGATGTCTCCCAGCACAAAACACGTCTGGCTCTCGCGATGGGGCTGCACAATGAGCTCAGCGTCGGCCCAGATGCCTCGGATCTTGTCGAGCTGCTGCTCAAGAGCGAACTCGCCAGATGCAATGCCCGATACCTCCGCCACGAACTGGTATTTGCTGAAGATGTCGTTCTCTTCCAGTTTCTTGAGGAAGAACGACTGAGCGGGGCTGACGTATGCCATCCTGCAACAGGATAGACAAAGAAGCTTCGTAGGGAGACACAAATTAGCATTTGTTGACTGACTTGATCTCTTTGAAGATCTTCTCCCAGTGTCGGGGCCTCAGCGCGGGGTTACCGAGCTCCAGAATTGTGGGCATTCGGTCGCGCCACTCACCAATCATCTCCTTCAAGCGAGTCACTACTGGATCCTGAACGATGGATAGGACAGACATATGCAATATCTTATGTTTGTCTGAGTCTTACATTGTTGAGGGATTTGGCCAGTGAATAGACGTTTTTGAAGTACTCCTGGACCTTCTTGTTTGTGTCTTCCACGTCAAGCTTAGAGAACTCGTCATAGTACCACTGAATGGCACGCAAAGAAAAGACACATTTGTGCATCGTCAAGCCGTGTCACGTCAAGCTCGCGCGTCTGTTTTGACACCTGCTTGGTGGCCTCCTGCCACTCGGCAATGGTGTCCCAGAGCTTCTGCTTGAGCGCGAAGAGCTTCCTGGTCTCTTCAGTCTCTTTGAACGCGAACTGGAGGCAAACGAAAGGCGTGCAAGCAGATGTATGCATGTGTATTTGCGGTCCGTCCCACCTGCTCGGGCGTCTTGAAGAGCTGTTGCAGCTCCCTGTAGTTGGATGCACGCTGATCGAGCTTCTGCAGCTGGTCCTCGAGCTTCGTAAGCTCCTCCCTGACCTCCGCAGCGTTGACGATGGCCTCCTCGTCGACAAACATGCCTTGCTGCAGATCGTGTGCCAGGTTGAGCATGTCCTCCTCGACTTTCTGTGACTTCTGGCGGAGGTCCAGGACCATGTCTGTCATGTTCTCCCTGCACACAGCCGAGGTGAAGGATGCGTGGGCGCTCGCGGGAAGACATAACATATTTGGGGTACCTGATGTGTTCGGAAGCCTCGAGGAGTTTCTGTTTCTCGAACTCTGACGCCTTCTGATTGAGTGTCTCCAGCTGAATGGTGTCATCAAGGGGCACCTGCACAGATGAAGCAGCAAGCAATGAGCAATTGGTCGGAATGGCAGAGGACACATCCCGTGTCTCTGCTTACCCTGACGTCATACTGCTTGAGGAGCGAATACATTTCCTCGACATTGCTCTTCTCTTCATCAAGGGACTCGAGCTGGTCTTTGATCTCCTGGAAGTTGCGGACAAAGTCGGCATAGTTTGCCAACTTAGCCGGCCGCTCGTCCAGAAGTTTGTTGACGGACGTGAAGCGATTGACCAACGCCGCAGCCTGATGAACACATTGAGAGCGAATGCATATACGTGTGTATGCTATGGATTGTCATCACCTTCTCGCGTGCCATTTGAATGAGAACAATCTTCATGGCCGCGAGTGCCTTCTCTGCAACGGGGACCAGATTCATCTTGAGTGTCCTCGCCTCAACAGACAACACCTGCGACCCACAAACCACCCATGCACACGGACACACATACGTTTCTCCTTCTCGCACCGACCCCGAATATGTGTGTCTGCTTGAGCTTCTCGAGGTCCTCCTCGAAGTCACGCATGAGCCCCATCTCCCGCGACAGACTCGCATGCGTCAGCTTGCGCTCGAAGAAGGCCGTCTCGTCCCACTGCTTCTCGAAATCGTAGATGCGCCTGAACCCATATATTGCAAATCGATCATTTGTGCTCTTTCAGATTGGAAAGCTGTTTGTGCTGAATTTGACCTGTACATGGCGAAGTATGAGTCGCAATACTTCTGCGCCCTCTCGAAGTCCTGTACTATTCGCTTTTCAACGCGCTCCTGCAGGCCATGGCATGCGAACGAGGAGACGCTCTGCGTGTGACAGTGGCCCGCCGGCACATCTGACTGACCTGTGTCGCACTGAAGACTTCATCGTTGAGCAAAAGGGTTTCCACCGACTGAGGATGCACCACCTGCACATACCTGCCGCAATCGCCGTGCATCATTCAAGTCATCGCACGAGCCTCCCCTCGCATGTCTCACCCCTCGTATTGTCTCATCTGACAGAAGGGAGGCACCGACGCCACCAGGTTGATGGTGCCCGTCCACAGCTCATGCAACATGACCTGAACAATGTGCATGCATTGACACATGTCGGTAGATCGAGCAGACGTGGTTCTTTTCCCTTGCCTTGAACTTCGAGAGTCCTGGTTCAAAGTCCATCTTCCGTGCTTGCCCGAACTTGACGGTAACAGAGAAGAGCTTCACCGAGGACTCAGCAGTGCCCAAGCGATCCAGAAAATCTCTTCCGGCAGTCAGCACAACGTGCACCAGCTGACTCGACAGCTTGTAATCCACCAGACGAATGAAATCGCCGAGAAGAGACTCATCCAATGCAGCCAAACGCAATCTGCGGGCCCGCTCCTTTGCTGTTGAGGAAAAGCAAGCCAAGAGTTGCGGAAATGGCTTCAGAAGTATTCTTGCGCACCTTCTTCCTTTTCTTGGACCATCGGTTTGACTTTTTTGGACGACTTGAAATCGAGCGGGTGCTCCTCGGGCAGCTGAGTGCTCGCATGCACCTCAGCCACAACCTGAGGCAATGTACACTCAAACATCCACATCATGGCTCAAATGCCTTTTATGTCTCACTTACCTTATCGAGAATGCCGATGAGCTGCTCCTGTCGGGTCTCAAACTCTTTGGCCGCACCGTTCTGCGGATTCGACCGCTGGTTGGACTGCGCCTCGGCAAACTGATGCAGATCATGCTGAGAGTGGGCTATGTGCATCACGCGCACCTGCAGCGGCCAAGCACAATGTAAGGTGATGACAGACACGTATGCGCGAACGACTCATACTCACGTTGCCAGTGTCGTGCATGATGGAGTGAATGTTGAGCAAAGGAGCCACAAACACGGGCTTGGCGAGGAACAAACGCCGGGTCAATGTCTTGCGCTGCTTCAAATACACCTGCCAGCAAAAAGAGCAAAAATGGCAGAAATTTGAGGGGTTACCGTTTTACCTGATAGCGAGCGTTATTCTGCCATTGTCTGAAGAGTTTGCCGATGAGAAAATGCTTGAAAAATACCATCGATCTGGATGTCACGGAGTGACAGAGAAAAGAATATCTGCCAATTGTCCCTGTCCGTCGCTGCTCCCCCACCTGAGGACTGAGAACATGAGCGATTGGTGCATCCATTCGCTGAGTGACACGTATTCGCTGGGCCGCTGAGGGCACACATGCACGACACCGCTGGAGCTGATGGTGAAGTACTCGGGGTTGATGTCGGCCTCGGGCACCACCACCAGGCTGCACGGCTGAAAATCGCCCTCCTCAGTCACACGCCGATTGCAATACACAAACTTCACCTACACTTGCGCCCACAAGAGGGGGAGACAAAGCATGACACACACGTGCCCTTCGCCTGAAAATCATCTGCTGGTTGGGCTGTGTCTGTCTCACCGGTGTGGTGGATCCGTTTTTAGCAAAGAAAGCAATTGCGTCCTCGCCCGTTTTGAGCTTGGCGAGCTCCTGCCTCAAGAGCTCCTCTTCATCCACCTGCTCCTGCGCAAATGCGGCGACGAGAGACGACCTCCCTTCGGGAACCTCCTCCACACCCTCTCCCTCCAGCTCGGCAATGACGCCCTGCCCTTCTATTGGCTTCGCGCCTTCCGCTTTGCCCGTCTGCGCCATGTAGATGGTCTGCAGCAGCTGCACGTGTGACGGCAGCTTGGTCTCCTTCTTGGCCTCCTTCTCCTTTGCGTCCTTCTGCATTCGAGCCATGGCGGCCAGACCGCTGCTCTTGATGGGCTTCCGCCCCTCATCGGGTGTGGTCGCTTGGGCAGCGGCACCTGGCTGTGGAGGGGCGACTCTTGTGGGTTTGAGGAAGGTGGCCATTGCATAGCTCTCCAGCTCGGAGGCGTCGAAACGGAACAGGCGGCGCCGATGCGCCTTCTGCGGGTCCAGGCGATAGACGCGCTCCATCTTCTGGTGCTCGGTCGTCCTGGTGATGTCAGGAAAACACATCGATGAGTTGGCGCATGGGTGTATACAGCGTGTTCGTACATCACCTGAGGGAGGATGCAACGTGTGTCTGTCTGAGAATGCCATCGTCGGTCCGCTTCTGCTGAGTCTGCTCAGCTGTGAATGGCGAGCCAATCGGCGGGACTGGCGACAACGGAACGTGGCTCGTCATCTTGCGGGGAAGTCAGGAGTGAGACTGGGGGGCACGGGGGGGCCGCCACGATTATTTGTGTCAAGAGCTAAAGGATTGAAAGCATAAAGGGCCGTGTTGTGCACACACGGAGAATGCGGCCTCATGAACACATCACTACATCACACAAAATTGAAGGAAGGAACGCAGCACGGCATTTCCCTCATGCACATGTACCACCGATTTGTGGCGAGAATCCATCTGCAGAGACGGGCGAAAACCCAATAAATTGCGAAGAACCGGGGAGATCGTCCATGCAGAAACCGCGGACCACACGACCGCTGCAAACCACCATCATGAGCACGAGCAAGTGCTTCGGCGCTTCATATCGGGAGGGGTGGTGGTACAAATGGGAGCGGCGGGAGGGGATTCTGGTGGTCGAGGGCGACCATGGCAAGAGTGTCAGCCTCCGGGCGACGCTGTTTGAGAAGGACTGCAATGGCAGACGGGGCGACATCGTGATAGGGCCCGTGGACCTCGCCAGTAAGGACATCGACAAGTTCAAGTAAGTGCACGAGGGAGATCTCCATGCATGCATGCAAAAGGACGACGTCACACCATCTGTATGATGCGTTACATGCGTGTGCAGGCATTTGTTTCGGGCTCAATTCAGGGCCGGGGACTTTGAAGATGAGGTGCTGCGACCCCTCTCATGCGCCACTCACTCACGAGCCGGGCCGGCTGGATGGCGGACGTCAAGGACGAGGAGGCCTGGGAGAGCGGGAGCGGGGCCCGGTGCGGTGCTGCCCACCGGTGGTGTGGTGTGGTGTGCGTGGTGGTTGGCGTCAAGAGGGAGGATATATGTGCCTGAGAGAGAAGCTGGGCGTGGCGTGGGTCGTGTGGTGGCGGGGCCTCGGCGGTGCGACAGCCGGAGATCAACGAACGAACAAGAGGGGGAATTCTACTACTATATATGACGAATGAATATGACGGACGAGGTGCGCATGTGTACGTGTGGATAGGGGGGGGAGGGGAGGGCGTGTGGGGCTTCATTCATTCATGTGTGGATAGATGCGATCGATGCCGGCGAGCAAGGCATGGCATGCTAAGGCATGCCGACTGACTGACTGACTGATGGATGGGATGGATGCATGAGCGTACGTACGTTATGGCGACTCACAGTGAAATGGACGTCATCGTCACTCAGTGATGTCACATTTTTGCACTGATCTAGACGGAGCGCAAGGAACTGACGGGGTGGCTGCATGTGGGTGCTTTTTGGTATGTGTGGTGCGGCTGGGTGGGTGATGCCGTATATATCACTGCCTACGTTTTATATTCGACGACGTTTGTGACTCCGTTTCCGTGCCTTCGGTCGATTCTTGTGGTGGACGCTGAATTGCATTCACACAGAAATGAGTCAACCATGGCTGTCAAAAGAGGACATCTGTCGCTGCTGCTATAACACGAATATATGCACGTACAAATGCATGTATTAATGCACCATGCACACATACAGCCACCTCCCAGCGAGCAGGTACACGCAAAACGACCGCAACCAACTATGTGTCTCGCTATCTGAATGTCAGGTTGCCCCTCAGACTCTTCCTCTCGTCCATCAGCCGAAACGCATCTCGGTACTGGAAGTTGTACAGGGCGACCGTCTCATTCTTCGGAGGCGGCGGTCTTATTGTCGAGGGGCTCCTTTTGTCCCGGTACTCTGAGTGTGGCCTTGTGCTGAAGATGTCCGCCCGGGGCACGACGGGTGACTGGGATGGATGCTGAGACAGGGCTATGAGGGCCTGTTCGCAGAGAGACTGATACGTCGGGCTCTTCGGGGGCCTCTTGGGAGACGCCTTTTTCGCCGCCGCGGTCGTCCTTCTTCTCTTCTCCCTTGCCCTCGCCGCCGCGGGCTGCCTCTTCGGTGAAGGGATAAGCACCACACTAGCGCTCAGCCGGCCCGGCCTGTTTTGAGTGGCCATGATTGGAGACACAGACCTCTCAGTCGCGCTTTCGTCGTGCTGCGCGGAGCCCGCGGCTGAGCCCTCATCGGTGTGGATGGACGTTGGGCCCTCGAGTGGCGGCCGGGGGGAGGTCTGCCGTGATGTGGGTGAGGACATCGGCGTGTGTCTGAGGGATCGCTGGGTGAGCGGCAGAGAGGGAGGGGAGGGGCGAGTAAAGCGACTCGGGCTGCGGACCTGCATTCACGGATGCAGGACGACAGAGAGAAATTGGATGCACGTTTGTTGCTATCAGCTTACCGTGTCTGCCGGCTTGGCCTTCCACGTCTCGTCTAGCTCGGCAGGCTGCCCACCGGCTGCTGTGTCCTCTGTCTTCACTGCTGCAGGTTTCTTGGCCTCTGTTTCTTCACTTGAGGCTTCCGCCTCCTCCCCCTCCTGCTCCTCTGCTTTCATCTCGTCCAGTGCCTGCATCAGAAACTGGCTGCCCGACGGCTGGTTGGCGTACTGCCTGAGCAGGTTCAATCGGGCCAGTGTGCCGCTGTTGAGCCGGCTAAGGCTGATGCGCTTGCTCGTGGGCGACTCGGCTGCAGAGAAGAGACGCTCATACAATCGAATAGAGAGGATGCTCGAGAGACGTATGTGTCTCATACCAGCTGCCCCTTTTTGGAGGTTGAAGCTGATTTGTTTGGTCATGCCGCCCACGGCGGCGCTGCTCCTCCTGCTCAAGACGACTGACGAGCTGACCGCACTCGCCACCGCAGAAGACCGGCGCCGAGCCGACTGATCACTGAAGACAAGCAACGAACACAAGGCCTGCTTCTGCATCTGCATCTCTTCTCAGTTACGTGATGAGGGGGGGCGGGAGTGACGTCAGAGGCCCAATGCACGTGTCCGCGATCCCTCGCAGGTCAGGAATGCGGCCCTCACGGTACCTGAAAGGACAGCACGGACGAAAGGACACATCCTCTGGCACAACTGGCTCTGGCTGGCACCCACCTTGCGTGCGGCATGACAAATCCGCCCATCATGAGTGAGAATTTCTCCTGTGCCTTCTCCCTCAGCATCCTGGACCGCGGGGACTCATCCGTCACGCTCATCGACAGGGCGGGGTGCTGACCCAGCCCCTGGCTCTGACTCGCTGCCGCCTCCGTGTCCGTCCAGCGGGCGAAGGCCGGGGCGGGGGGCGCCTTGGCTGACAGACAAAGAGACAGCCGAGACACGGACATGCGTGGGTGGCATGTGGCATGAGGCATACCTGGCTTTTGTGAGCTCCAGAATGGCGATCTTGCGCAATGTACGACATCCTTCTTGACCATTCTCTCCAGCAGCCGCGCGGCCCTCCTCCTCTCGACCCTCTCCGTCGAAACACGGACTGGCTTCTCCTCCTGTATCACGACGGCAGCGGCAGTGACCTCCCTGCCCACTATCCTTTCTGTCTCTTCCTTCGCAGCGGAGGGACGTGCGGTAGCCACTGGCGGATGACTGATCATTGGCTGCTCCATGTATGGGCGGGCATCTGCAGTGCTCAACCTCTGTCTCTCTTGGTCAGCGGGTGCTCGAGCGAGTGAGAGGAAGGCGCATTTCAGCTGCAGCCGCTTGCCGCCTGAGAGGCGGACACGGCCGTTGGGGACGGCGTGGATCTTGGTCGATGGGAGGCGGTCGGCTGTGGTGGGGTCCTGATAGCCTGCCGGGAAGTCGGGGTTGCACTCTGGCGGCAGCTCCACAAACTTCAGCCGCTCGTCGATCGGCAGCAAACGCGACACGCCGCTGGAAAGCTGTGCGCAACACATGACGTGTGCAAAGGAGGGGCAAACGCATTTCGCTTCCTCTCATCGCCACCCACCCGTTGAGTAGCCAGCTGGAGGTCCCGAGGGTCGGGACTGATGGCCTCGAGCACTTGCTGACGAGGGCCGAGTTTCGAGGGGCCTATAGAGGCCTCGGCGCTGTGTGGACGCGAGGCCGGTGGGTAGTTGGCGTTGACCACTTCCTTATACCTCTTGACACGGGCAAAGTGGCGCCGCTGAAGACACAAATGGGCACACATGGAATGAGATCCATGAGATCCATCGATATGTCTCTCTCCGATGGGGACTCTCCATTCTTTTCTCCCACCTGCAGCACTCGGTCCTTCCTTTTGAGCTTCCTTTTCATCCCTTCGTTCACGGTGGGTCTCTCGTAAAGCAGGACACCCTTCCCACTGCCGCCCTGCTCCTCCTCACTGTCCTCGCCCTCATCGCCGGTGCCGCTCTCGTCCTCACTCGCCCCGGGCGGTGGTAACGCCAGCTGCATCTTCTCTCCTTTCTGACGGACAAAGTGCGTGATAAACAATCGGGTGGCGGGGCTGTACTGGATGATTGGATGCACAAGGGACAGAGAGAATGACGCAAAGATGGTGGCTGCATTGGCTGGTGATATTTGCCGGTGCCCCCACCTTCTGAACGATGTCGGCGACACGCTGAATGAGCGCAAAGAGGTACCACCGCTGCCTGAAGAAGAGAAGCACAAAAGCTGTCTGGTTTGCGAGCATGTGTTATGCAAAATTGTGACGGACTGACAGGTTGAAGTCTTGGGCTGCCTCCTTTGCGTTAGCGAGAAATCTTCTGCGAGAGAGATCCAGACGGCTGATTAGCTGGTTGCCGGGCAGCGACAACAACTGCAGACAAAAATGCATTGATTGCGGCGCATTTCAGCACAATCGTCTGGCACTCACCTCTCCGTGCCCTACAAACAAACGCACAGAGACACCAGCCGTATGAGAAAAAGGTCATGTGCAGTACATTGGACTGTGTTTGTGGTGTCCCTCCCTCACCCACCCGATGCACACAGCACTGTCGAGAACCTCGGCCTCGCCGGCCCTCCCGCCACATACTCCTCAAAGCCGAAGAACTGCGGCTTGCCAAGCAGCGCCACCGCCACACTGCCATCGGTGTCCATCTGCTGCTTGGCTCCGCCTCCTTTGGTCCTCTCGCCGTCCTTGTTCACCTTGGCCTGTGACGGCGATGGCGAGCGAGGCCTGCCTGGCGTCTTCATCTCCACTCGACGCATTGACTCAAGCTGACGATCCAACGGCCGCTTGCGGCTGACGCTCTTGCGCATCTGTCCAGACAGACAGACAGACAGACCTGATTGATTCACGCCGTCTTGTCGCTGCTTCTGTTTTTGACCTGAAAATCGCCTTCCTTGACGAGGAATATTTCTGACGGGTGGTCGCCCTGAGAGTATATGATGTCGCCTCTCTTGCACTCGCGAGTATATATGGCGTTGGCGAGTCGGTCAAGCGAGGTCGGGCTCCACTCAGCAAAGAGAGGAACGAGTGCGAGGAAGGCGACCTTGCGCTGATGCTGCCGGGTCATGAACTCAGACAACACGCTCTGCATGGCATGTCGCACCACATGCGTACGCAACACCTCATATCCACACAGCGTCGCTGGAGAGCGCTGCATTCCTGTTTTGACCTTGTAGTCGTCTCTCTCGAGTGTGGCGAACTGGCAGTCAGTGTCGGCATGGATGGTGGCCTTTCTGACACGACACAAAGAAAACCAACAAGGATCATCTGCTCGCCAATGAAGACGAGCAAGCAGAGCAGCCAGCATGCATACCTTTTGCCGTCTGTCTGGAGTGCCATTTCCCCGAATGCGTCGCCCTCCTTCATCTTGGCCACCAACTTCATCTGCGAAGGGTTGGTCGGACCTCGGCGCATCCTGGGGCTCGGATGGTCTGCAGCATCCAACAAAACATCCACATCACCGGTGCCACTGACACCAGCTCACCCATTCTGCTCTCGGTGAGCATGGTGGGCGACCTGGTCATCATCCTGGTGATCGATCGCGTCAGCCCCCTCCAAAGCATTGGCCGCTCCGCCGCATCCCTCTCGCCACTGGCTGACGCAGGCCGACTGCAGCTGAGGCTCGCCCTGTCCTCGGAACTGTCCCGTCCGGTCTGCTGCCCATTAACTTTGCTCGACTGGGCCAGGGCGGTCGATGTGGTCTTGCGTTTGAGTGTCGCGAGCATCTGCGATGTATGCATGGGGCTGACCGGCTCCATGGTGATGGAGACTCTCTTGTCTCTTGCTGGCCGAATGAATGGGGGTGGCGGGGAAGGGGATGAGTCCTCGACGGTGCGGTCGGCGATGTAGACCGACACGCTGCCTGCAAAGCAGAGACACGGTCACTTGTGTGGAAACCTTGGCATTAGTGTCGTCTCGTTGCCTTGCAGGATGACGTAGAAGGTAGATCCGTCGTCTCCCTCCAGGAAGACATTCTGTCCTGCCAAGCACGCCTCGTAAGCATATCGCCGGCAGCACTCGATGCGCACATTGCGGTCGAGCTTCTTGAGGAACGCGCAGTCGAGATTCAATTCCATGTAGTTGAACACATGCCTTATCTCATCCTCTGTCCTGCAGCAAACGAACGCAACATAAACCACAAATCAACCGCCATTACGCAACAACGCAGACGACCCATCACCCAGTGGCAGCCCATCCCCTCCATACCTCTCGTCGCCTCGTTTCTGAAGGATTTCTCTAACTCTTCTCAACGGGACGCTCTCCGTGGTGCCCAGGGTCGCCACTGAGGCCGCCGAGTTGTGCCCGCCAGGCATGGAATGCACGCCGGCCGCTTTCCGCATGGCCAAAGAAAGCGGCGTGGGGGCGTGATGGCTCACCGTCGGCGGATGCCTGATCATGGATGCAGGGGCGTGGAGAGGCTGGACATCCATTGCTTGCTGTGGCTGCTCGCTGGAAAAGAGTAGGGGGGAACAGCCTCAGGCCTCAAGGGTGGGGGCTGAAGGGAAAAACGCAAGCTCAAAGAGCCTGAGGACCTCAAGGATCGCAAGGCGTGGACACTCGACGCGAGTGACACATTGTGTGTGGAGCCACTGACATCTCACACTCAGAGATGAAATCGCCTATCTTTCGTCGGCTGCTGTCATCATCCGCGTCCACCGCTGCTTCAGAGGCCACTGCTGCAGGCAGTCGATACGACCTCTGCATCGTGGGCGGCGGGGCTGCTGGGTTCGCCGCTGCTGTGAGAGCATGGGACTTTGGCAGAAAGGTCAGTGTCAGCCAGGTCATGATGTGCCGACGACTGTGGTTTGGTTGTTTGTCATTCATTGATCCATCCAGGTGTGTCTGGTGAACAAGGGCCCGCTCGGCGGGGCGAGTCTTGCTGCTGGTGCTTTGTCGAGCAAGGTCATGTGGCAACTGTCGCGGCAATTCCGACACCTGCAGAGCATCAACAAGAGATACCACCCCGATGTGCAAGACGCAGAATCAAGTACGTGCCAAACAACGCCGCATGCGGCATAGGCACACGTTTCCTCTGTTTCCCTCAATCGTTCAGCGCGGACATATCAGCACATCAAGACGTCTGTGGGCGAGTCGGTAGACTTCAAGCGGCACCACTTCGAGATGCACCTGGCGGGCCTCAGCAAGAGGATGCGCTACAGTGCCAGGGAGGACGGCGGCGGAGGCATGGTCGACTGGCAGGAGGTGGCCGACGCCAAATTTCTCGATAAACATCGGCTGGGGGTGAGGGGGCCGGAAGGGCACGAGGGGGTCATTGAGGCAGAGCACTTCCTCATAGCGACCGGGAGTCGGCCGCGGGAGCTGCCGTCCATCCCTGTTTACGGCAAGTATGTCGTCACATCTGACCACCTGCTCTCATTCGACCAGTTCCCGAAACGGTGAGCAAGAGAAAGAGGGAGGGAGGGATAGCCATACGCACAGATGCAAGTGTTCGCACCGTAATGTGGGGGTGGATGTATGTGTTTATGTGGTGCCTCAGGTTGATGATAATTGGTGCGGGTGTGATCGGCTGTGAGTTCGCCGCCATATTTGGCAACTTCGGCTTCTCTCAAGTCCACCTCATCAACGAGAGAAGACCGAGGCTGCTCCCGCAGGTGGGGAGGGTGGTGTGTACAGACCTTTTTTCTGCGCACCTGGATGTGCGTGTGTGTGCTGAATCGGGCAGGAGGATGAGGATTTGGCGGCGTTTATCACTTCCAACTTCGCCATGGGGGGCGTGCACATACACAACAACGTCAAAGTCATAGGTACAACCATCCACCCGGCTAGCCATTCACACCCACACCCACACACATCCAAACGCCGATCTCTTCGCCCGGCAGGTGTGGATATCGACGAGGCCAAACAAGAGGTCGAGGTGACCATCGGGGTGCTGCCCCCCTCCCCCAGTGATGACCAGCCACAGGCACAGCCACAAACACAGGAGTTCATCGAGGAGAAGAAAATACGCGTCGACAAGGTCCTTCTCAGCGTCGGGAGAGTGCCAAACACCGACACCCTCGGTAGCCACACATACCTAGACAGCTCCACAACCACCCGTACAGGTCCATACAGACACGTGTGTTGTGTGTGGACGGGTGTCAGCTCTCGAGAAAGCGGGCGTCACGCTAGGCTCTGGGGGAGCACTGGAGGTGGAGAAGAAGAGCCTGGCTGTGGCGGGGGCGCCGCACATCAGTGCTGCAGGCGATGTGACGGTTGACGTGGGCCTCGTGAGTGTGGCGGAAATGGAGGCACGGTGAGAGAGATGAGCCAGACAAACAGGCAGACACGTGTGTGTCGATGGGGGTAAATGTGTATATGTTAGGTATGCGGTGGAGATGATGTTTGGCCACAAGAACCCCGCCACGCCCCTCAACTACCACAACGTGTCGAGTATCATGTTTCTGAGACCAGAAGTGGCGTGCGTCGGCATGAATGAAAGTGGTGTGTATGCGACACACAGCAACATACATATACAGATGCTTTCTCTGTCCCTGTACCTGTACAGAGGCGCGTCGTCGGCAGATAGCGCACAAGGTGGCCACTCTTCGACTCGATGTGGTCAACAGAGCCGTCATCGACTGGTACGTCACTCAACACTCGACACACCCACACACAGCACACACATGCACCCTCCGTCCCCACCCAGGAACCTGTCACACGACACTGGCCGCGTCGACCCCGACCGGTGCGGCTTCGTCAAGATGATCGTCACCGACGACGACTACAAAAAACTCCTCGGCATGCGCGCTGTCGGTGTCGATGCGTCCGCCGTCATCCAATCGGCCGCACTCCTCATTGCCCAGGTGCGCGATCAATCAAGGGAGGGAGAGAGCATCCATCCATCCATCCATCCACCCATTCATCCATCCATCCATCCGCTTGTGTGGTTGGTGGTGTCAGGGCGACTCTGTGCGTTACCTGGAGGGGGTGTTGCACCCGCACCCGGCCATCACGGAGGGCGTGTTGGAGGTGTGTCGTCTGCTGAGCGGGCGGTCCATCTACAAGCCACACATATTCGACGCATGCCGCGTGACGCACTTCTCGCGCAAGGAGGGTATAGTCCACGCCAAGGAGAAGAGGAAGCGGCTCGTGCCATCGTACATGGGCGACGAGGCATGAATGATCATAGAGCGGAGGGAGGGAGGGAGGGGGGGAGGGAGGGGGTGTGGCGTGAGAGTGAATGGGTAGGCATTGTGTTTTGTCGTGAAGGGAGAGAGAAAGACAGACAGACAGACAGACAGAGAGGATGACATTTGGCGGGTTGTTGGGTTGGTGGGCTGTCCAGACACAGTAATGTTGGGCCTCGGCTGTTCCTCAGGCAGGTCGGATCCCCGCCGGCTCCGTGTCAGCATCATGCCTCTTGAGGCATGATGTCAATGCGGATGCAGTGGGCGTCAAACGTGTCTCAGCAGCTGCAGCCACCTGGGGAATGTTGGCTTCACATATGTAATGTCTGATGTGACAATTCGGTGTGGGTCATGCACACATGTCATTCGGTCATGCACTCGCTACGCCCACAACCGTCGGGACACTACTGCCAGCCTCACTGTATGTCCTACTGCTGTCGAGCTGCTGTGTGGTGGAAGCATTCTGATGCGATAATGATGGCGGTGTTGTGGGCTGTTGGCTGTCCTTCACCAGCTGTGTGTAGAAGTACTGGTGTGCCTGGAAGTACAGCTGCTGGCAGGGCTTCTTGTAGTAGTGACAACCTGCCCACACACAATGATACAAACCACAGAAAAGTCGTCGGCGCATTCATTCTGCCCTCCTCCTTCATCCGCCCTCTATGCATCCACAGCCACCTGGGTGGTGTTTGATGAAGTCGCCTTCTTGCCATTCCCTGCAAAGTCTAGAGACGCGGTCATTCGTGCGCCCGTGTATGTGGCGTGCTTGCCTCGAGAGTACGAGCGATGCCGTGGCGCTGTGGAAGGAATTCAAATGCTTCTGACGCACTATGCGCACCTGCACAGCCCGTCGAGACATGGAGAAGATGCACAAAGATGCACATGAGATCGAGGAATGGTCGCAATGATCGACCTGCGGTGGCCACGGTTGCCATTCGTCGGTGAAATCGCCCTTCTTTCCTATCCTTGACAACGCCAACGCCCTCTGGTGCAGCAGTAAATACTGACACAGCATACAGACGATGCATCGCATATATCCCTCCATCCCTCGCTCCTTCCCCACCCACCACTGACCTCCATGCTGGCCTGGTCGGAGCAGTTGTGTCTCTCGTCGAAGACCGCATAGCTCTTCCACCACTCCTCCACAAACGCCCGGCCCCACGCACCCACCCGCATCGCAAACACGCCGTTGTTGAGCCCCGTTGTGTCGTCGGCAATCAGCAGCTCAACCGCAGTCGCATTGGTGGCATTGGTGGTGTGTGTGGCTATGGGTGTGGGGTTTGGGGGTGAGCGCTGTGTGTAAGTAGCGATGATGGAGTCGATGGTGCGGTGGGGGTCCATGAAGAAGGCGTCGCAGTCGAGCCACAACACCCATGTGTGCTTGTGCGGGGCATCTGGGGGAGGGAGGGAGGGAGGGAGGGAGGGAGAGGCATCCATCGTGCGTTGTGTGTGTGTGCGTGGATGGAGGGTGGAATGGGGTTGCCTGCCTGGCTTCATGACGCGCCGCAGAGCTGCCACTTTCCACCAGAAGCCAGACCTGCACACTCACATGTACACGGAATACACGGATGTACTCACTTGTCCCGTGTTTCCCACCTGGTTGTGTCTTGTGGTTCGTTGAGCTGGTAGAGGGTGTACCCATGACGGGCGGCGTACATGGCGTGGTTCTCGCTCCCTAAACAGACACACGCATCCCCCCTCCTCCACACGTGCATGACTGGACAGCGGACGGCATCGATCTCACCGACCGACCGAGCATGCGCACAGGCTGCTGCGCGTCGTAGCCACATATCGACAGAATGGCGATGTTCTCACCAGCAACTGCATCGGTCAGATGAGTGAGAAGACAGCCAAACGTTCCCCCCCTCTCCAGCTTACGTCTGGTCGTCTTGGGCACATCCACCGTGAATGGCGCATCAAGCACCTCCACACGCTCCCTGACAAAGCGCACACGCACACAACGAACGGTTGTTGCACTGACGTCCGTCCGGTGGATCTTGACACCCACCTGAGTGCTCTGCCGGCCAGCAGCATATCCCATCCCTGCACCGGGAAGGCAGTCGACTCGCGGAAACCTGAGAGCACCAGTATGTATGCATGTTGCTGAGCCAGTGCTCACTCCGCCAGGCATCCGTCCCACCCACCTCTGTTTTTCTGCACATAGATGAAGCCCAGCTGGATCAGAGCGAGAGGCCGCCGAACAAAGCCCTGCACGGGACGGGGAGGAAGAAGGGAAAGACAATGAGGGACATCCGCGCCATTAATGTCGATGACCTGCAAACCAAACCTGAAATGTGAGTATGTGTGCGAGTGAAAAGAACGCCGACGCGATGCCAAGCGGGCACTCAAAGGCGGTGGGCAGATCACGGAGGACAGACGCCAACAGGTCTATGTGACACACCTGCCCACAGCACAGCAAACGGGTCATTCTTGTGTGTCTGTGTTCCCACTGCTGTTCTTTTCTTGCCTTTACCTTGCTCTGTTCAGTGTGTCCCGCGAACACCAGCGACCGGCAGATGTACAGATCTTCTCCGTACTTGTCCCAGTCGTGCCCAACGGATGACGGACACTCCTCCAGGCAATGCACCACACCCACCAACCACTCTACGGCCACCAAAAGCAGCAAAAGCGTCGTCATTTCAATCAGCTCAAGGGCCGAAATCATGTAAACACATGCAATGATCATGTGGGCGTCTTGCCCCCTTCCGCGTCTCAAGCGGACGTATTATTTTCACAAACTCAAGCGGAGAAAGAGCCAGCGATTATGTTGGCGTACCACGTGTATCGCTCAGGTTCGGGGAGGAGAGATTCTTCCAAGGAAGTTGAGGCCGATGAGTCGGACGCCGAGCCGAGACGAATCACAGTCAAGGAGGAGAGGCCGGCACTGCCATGGATGAGCACGGCTGCGAGCGTCGTGCTGCTGGTCACAATGCTTGGCATCCTCGTGACTACGCTCATTATCGCTGCTATGGCCTCCGGAAACAAGTGAGGGTCGGCGCATTGCAGGTGCATTGATGGCATCTGTCTGTGGTGTGTTGTGTTGTTGATGCATCCAGGCATGTGACGTCTGGCAAACACGGTTCATGTCTGGACGGCTCGCCCCCCGCCTACCACCTCAGCCAGGGAGCAATGCGGTCAATCGACAAGTGGCTCGTGCACCTCTCGGGAGGTAATACAGACATTCATGCCTCATGACGCGGTGTTTGCAATCCCTCTGGGTGTCTCTGTCAAGGTGGCTGGTGCACCCTGGACCAGTCCGAGGACACCAAATTCGTCACCGATCACTGTGCACTGCGTGCGACCACGCCCTATGGCACAAGCAGGCTGGCGCCGAACCTCGTCGATATGGAAGAAAGTAGTGCCTACTTCAACCGAGATGCCAAGGCCAACCCACTCTTTCACGACTGGAACTACGTAAGATGGGCCAAGAGGCATAAGAGGAAGCGTGCAGAGGGATTGATGGGTGTTTGTCTTGTGTGCGTGCAGGTGTGGATCTGGTACTGCGATGGCAGCTCATACAGCTCAAATCTGAAGGACAAAGTGGTCTACACAAAAGAAGATGGACAACCAGTGGACCTCTACTTCAAAGGTGCGACACACATTGAGACTTATCAGAAACACATTGACAGCCTGAATGGAGTTTGTGTGTTGACGATCAGGTCATGGCCTCTTGGTAGACATATTTGAAGACCTCCTTGAGAACCAGGGGATGAACGGCGCCACAGACGTCGTCATCTCGGGGTGCAGTGCGGGCGGGCTGGGTGTGCTGCTCAATGTCGACTGGCTGGGGAAGCTGCTGCCCGAGAAGACATTCGTGACGGCATTGCCAGACAGCGGGTAGGTTTTTGTTCGAGCGCTGGGGAGACATGAATGGCCGGATCAATCGCATGATGTGTGTTTGTGTGGATCGCTCTGCAGTTTCTTTCTGGAATGGTTTGCTCCCGCAGCCAACACCAAGTATGACTCGTACGCCAAGACCATGAAATGGTCAGTGGGTAAATGGACAAGAGAGAGACACTAATGTGAAACGGCCGCCATTTGCTTCCACTGCGCTGCAGGATATATGAGAGCACGAATGCGTCGTCAGCTGTCAATCAGGAGTGCGTCAGAGACTGTAAGCCGGAAACATAAGAGGCGGAACCATCGATTCTGTGGATGCAGATAAGGGCCGCGGCTCCACTGGGTGGGAGTGTTTCTTTGCCCAGAACGTCGCCTCTTACGTGCAGACGCCGATGTTCCTGGTGCAATCAATATATGACCGCATTCAGGTAGGTCGGCTGAGCCGCAATTGAACAACCATGCCACCCATCATTCCACACCCCTTCTGCTTCCAGCTAGCCCAGTTCCTCGGGCATGTCTATGGAGATAATGGCACGAGGACAAAAATCTACGGCTCTCTAGTGCTGGGAAATCTCACTCAAGCCCTCCAGAGGCCCCCTGGTCTTCGACTAACATCCAGAAGACGAAGGAGGCTATCACAATCATCGCCACTGGACGGGAGGGCAGCCTTCGTCGAGTCGTGTGAGCACCACTGTGCTTTTCCCGACTCCCTCAGCGGTAATCAAGGGGTCAATGCGTGGTCGGGCATCCGCATCGACAACGTGACGGCTGCTGAGGCCCATCTGGCATGGTATGAGAGACAAAGAGCGGCGTTCTTCGGGGATAAGGGAGCCACTCGGGAGAGAGGGGAAGGTGTGCAACTATGGGAGCAGGTGAGGGATTATCCCTGCGACGAGTGCTGTGGGAAGAGGGAGACGTGATGTCAATGCATTCATTGGGGGGGTGGAGTTTTCTTGTGTTTCCCGCTCGGGTTGATGGAACGTTACATTAAGGACAGATGTGCTTGCTTTGCTGGGGGAGAGAGACACAGGATTTCTTCTTTCGTCTGTGGACTCATCCATTGTTCATTCATCATTCGTTACTTCTTGTCGTCGATCGATCGATGGAGTGTCTCATTGTACGTTCCTCCCTCTGTCTATCTCTCTCTCTCTGTGTCCCCCACCCAAGGAGACAAAAGAAAACATGTCTGTCTCGTCCATCCGCACCCACCCATCCATCTATCCGTGTGTGCCATGCCCCCCGATCCCCCCTCTCCCCCTCCATCAAGTCTATCTATCTATCCATCTTCGTGTTTGATGTCCGTGTCATGGGTCATGGCCGTTATCTCCTCTTCGGCAGGCCCCTTCAATTCCTGCCCCTCTCCCTGCTTCTTCCCCGCAGCGATCCCCGAGCTCTCCTGTTCCTGCGATCCGCCATATGCGGTCTTGCCTTCGCCGCCCTTGTCTCCCCCCTTCCCCCGTGCTTTCTTCGTGAGGTCTCCGAAAAGGTACTCTGGCCGGAAGGTGAGCCATCGATCGGGTGTCGAGGAGGCTGGAGAGCTACTCCAGACCTTCACCTCCAGTGCAGGCAGGATGGGGTACCCAGTCCTCTCATCCCAACCGAAGCCAAAATGGCACGGGCGGAAGATGTCGAACTTTTTGTTGTCCGTCGAGTGGTGGTCACCGACGGGCTTGTTCTCCTGGTGCACGGCCGAGATACGCTTCATCTTGTGTGTGCTCCGGGTGATGAGTGCCTTGGACTGGTCGTGCTGCGGTGTTCGGGGCGGAGAGGAGATGGCCAGATTCAACATCACGTGCCTACATGACCAAAACAGTGCACACACAGACAAGGAGAGGAATGTATGCCGCACTGGCTGGACTTGCTGCTTACGGTTTGCGCATGAGTGCCTTGCGTCGGGCCATCAGCATCGCCAGCCGCTGTTTCTGCTTGGGAGGGCTCTTGCTGCCCTTCCCGCCCTTGCCCAGCCTCATGCCCCCCTTGCCCCGCCCCTGCTGCTGTCCTGACTGCTTCTTGGGGGACAGGGCTGTGCCGCTGAGACGGTAGGTCGGCAAACTCTTGCCCGCTGTGTGTGGCCTCGGCCGCAGCTGCCGCCCTTGAGACGGGTCGGCCTGGTCCATGGTGGATGGCGGCGGGCTGGTGAGCCGTGGAATAGTGCCCTCAGATGGGCTGCCGGGGGGCGAAATGACCGGCTTGAACGAGGGCGAGCCAAACATCGTTGTGGCGATGAAAGGCGGCGAGCCGGTCAGAGTGGGGGACACCGAGTGGCGCTTCTCGTCCCTTGAGTCTTCAGCAGACGGCAGCGAGGCTTTCGGCATGTTGGGGAGAGCCATGGCAGCGGAACGGTTGTCGGCCGGCGTGCCTTTGCCGGGGCCTTTGCCAGTGTCTTGGCCCCTCTCGTACGTCGTCATGTGGCCGCGGGGCTGGAAAAGACAAAATGCGGTAATATTGTATGGGGGCCGTACCCTCCCCCGCCCCCACTCCCCTGCTCCCCCGCTTCTCGACCCCCCTCCCCCATCTCTGTTTTAGTAGGGCATGCACCCTAGAACAGGGGAGGGGGAGGGGGGGAGGTGGCATGCAGCACACGGGGGAGGCCTCTCTGTTCCTGTAGAGGTCTTTCTCCAGCAGGGGAGCTTTGCATCAGCATTGGGGGAGCCCTCTGCGTCCTGGGGGGTCCCACTTTCAACAGGGGAGCCCTGCAGCACTCGGTGG